GATAAAGTCACCAATGCAGAGGTTCTTCAAAGGGCAAATTTACCAAGTGTGACAGCCCTGCTCAAGCAAAGACAACTGTGCTGGCTGGGCCATCTGAGTAGGTTGTAAGATGGACGCATACCCAAGGACATGCTATATGGGGAGCTATCAGAGGAAACAAGGAACAACAGGACGTCCCAAGCTTTGCTATAAAGACACATGCAAGCGAGATATGAAGGAATTTGGAATTGATCCTGACCAATGGGAAATCTTGGCAAGTGATCGTAACAAGTGGCACCGTGGTCTTCATCAGGGTATCAAAGTCCATGACAGAAGCTAGGGCCCCAAAAGCTTGAAGAGAAAAGAGCCTGTAGGAAGCCAGCAGCTCCCAAGATACAGACATTTGCAATAACTACCAAAGATCACGCAAATCTCCGATTGGACTATTCAGTCATATGAGACATTGCAAACCATCTACATCCTAGGCTGCAATTCCCACTGTCTCTCGCAGACAAAAGGATGCCAACAACTCGAACTGGGCTCCATAATGTAAAAAAACATTGTTTATTGATGTATTGATTTTAACCAACTGAACCAGTAGAAGATAGAAATTGAAAAGACCTATAAGGTCACATTAGTTCTTTCCCTCCTGTTCACCCCCATCCCTGCAGAAGCCATTGCAGGATTGTTCATTATTTCCCTGTAGTCTCCAGAGCTTTGTCCAGTTCGGTTTAAGTGACACAAATGGTGAGGTTTCCACTATTGTCCTTGCGTCGTCTAATCGATCTCACTTTTCTGACGTTCAAGCTACAATGAACAAAGAAGCTCAAGCTCCTGAAACCTCTAGAGTCTGCTGAATGCAGTTGCATCAACCTTGGCTGAAGCTGCTGCAGCTAGTAGGAGCAACGTCTCTCAGGAGGGTGAGAAAGCTGTTGTGTTTTACAGATCCTGGATGCTTTAGGATGTCCCAGCCTGAAAATTAAGAATGTATTTTTAAAAATTAGAGTAACAATCTTACAGATGATTTCCCTTGGTAATAATCAACAGAGGGTCCTGTGGCATGTTTAAGACTAACAGATGTATTGGAGCATAAGCTTTCGTGGGTGAATACATCTGTTAGTCTTAAAGGTACCACAGGACTCTCTGTTGCTTTTTACAGATCCAGACTAACACGGCTACCCCTCTGATACTTGGTAATAATGTTTCCCTTGGATCATGAGTAGCCAATACAGCACACCAAACTGATCAGCTGTTGTGCCATGGTCTTATGGGTTGAGACCTGAGTCATCTTGCTTGCTCCATTAGCTCTTGCCCATTTTATACGGTAAGGGACCCTAAGGAAACTGTGTAATTCTGTCATGCTGCCTCACAGAACAGGACACAGTATGGATCTGTAGATTTCTCTGTATCCTTCCTAACCCTTCAGTGCTGCATTCGAACAAATGAACCTTGTGACAATCAGGTTATAATTAGTTCCATTCTAACTGCCCCATGACTGTGTATACACTGTAGAGGTCACTCAACTCAATCCAGAGGTGAAAACACATCATCCTCTTGCTCTTGCAGATTTTAATTATTTTTACTTCCCTTTGTTTGTTTGCCAATAGCATTTCTTTCCCTCCCAGTTTTATTGTTTTCCATTTGACACACATTGATTTTTCTTGTTTCTTTTTCCTCCTTTTTCTCTTCTATGGAGCCCCTGGAGGGGAGGAAAGGGTGTGGATATCCTGAAAGCCAAACAGAACTCCCATTTGTAATGACTTTTCTAACTGAGTAGAAATGGATGAACAATCCTTTTTGGAGCCTATCAGTGCAGGGCTTCAAAAAGGGGTCACTGTTAGACACTAGGAATCTATGTACGGTTATTGTTTGCAACAGGAAATGTTTTTATAGGAGGCACACACCAAAGAGAGAATTTAGGTCCGTTGGGGATTAGAACTGGCATTACATAGAAAAGGAATCTAACAGAAAAAGAATGTTGGGATTGAAAACAAGAAAGGAAAGAATGAAGGCAAGGCAGTCATTGGCTGTAATATTATAAACTCAATCACTCACATACATTCTTTGTCTGTAGGAATAAATCCTGCAGTATGTTAACTAGCATACTGAAAGAAAGACAGCTGTCTTCAGATAGGATTTGCATTAGGAACAAAAGAGGGGACAGGAGCATTGATCCTACTAAAATGAGTTCAGTTTCCAAGATTCCTGGAAGGAGTATTATACATGAGGGGAAGAAGAAGAGTTGTTGGCAATGAAAGATTAATTTACAATACCACCAAATATTCGAAGCTAGAAGAGAACGAGATCTATGAAGAAATTAGGATGAAGCTAGGATATCCTCAGGTCTGGGAGAGCACTATTGTATAGTATGCTAGAGAGTGTTACTCCCTTCCCTCTTTCACATATTCTTAAATGCAAAAGAAGAAAGGGTAGAACATAAGAGTGGCCCTACAGGGTCAGACCAAAGGTCCATCTAGCCCAGTGTCCTGTCTTTGGACAGCAGCCAGTGCCAGGTGCCTCAGAGGGAATGAACAGAACAGGTAATCATCAAGTGATCCATCCCTTGTTGCTCATTCCCAGCTTCTGGCAAACAGAAGCTAGGGACACCATTCCTGCCCATCCTGGCTAATAGCCACTGATAGACCTTTCCTCCATGAATTTATCTAGTTCCCTGTTATGGTCTTGGCCTTCACAACATCCTCTGGCAAGAAGTTCCACAGGTTGACTGTGCGCTGTGTGAAATTTTTTTAATATTAATATATGGAGATATACCTATCTCATAGAACTGGAAGGGACCCCAAAAGGTCATTAAGTCCAGCCCCCTGCCTTCACTAGCAGGACCAAGTACTGATTTTGCCCCAGATTCCTAAGTGTCCCCCTCAAGGACTGAACTCATAACTCTGGGTTTAGCAGGTTAATGCTCAAAACCACTGAGCTATCCCCCCTAAATACTTCCTTTTGTTTTAAATCTGCTGCCTATTAATTTAATTTGGTGACCCCCTAGTTCTTGTGTAAACAAGGACTTCCTTATCTACTTTCTCTATACCAATCATGATTTTATAGACCTCAATCATATCTCCCCTTAGCCGTCTCTTTTCCAAGCTGAAAAGTTCCAGTCTTATTAATCTCTCCTCATACGGAAGCCGTTCCATACCCCTCATAATTTTTGTTGCCCTTTTCTGAACCTTTTCCAATTCCAATAGATCTTTTTTGAGATGGGAAGACCACATCTGCACACAGTATTCAAGATGTGGGCGTACGATAGTAGCACAACTTCAAACTGAGGGTGGCACCAACATGTCTTAATTACTTAAGTGACAGGCCCAGAATTCTGCATGTGAACACAGTTTGTCTAATTTTATATTTTGACTAAATTAGCATTAGCAAGACTCAAACAGAGTTAATCCAAGGTTATTAATGGGACTCAAAATGGTGGTATCAAGATAAGACAATATTTTCTGGGCCTGTGAGGAGTTGTTATTATATTCTGGCCAGTTAAGAGAAAGAGGTGGCCATTCAATTCCTGCTTTTTTATATGTTGAAAAAGATTTTCAACCATCATTAATTTGTTACTAGAGATTAGGAGAATGTTTTTAGCAAATGTCAGGTTTCAGAGTAGCAGCCGTGTTAGTCTGTATCCGCAAAAAGAACAGGAGTACTCGTGGCACCTTAGAGACTAACAAATTTATTAGAGCATAAGCTTTCGTGGACTGCAGCCCACTTCTTCGGATGCATCCGAATAATAAATTTGTTAGTCTCTAAGGTGCCACAAGTACTCCTGTTCTTTTAGCAAATGTGTAGTTATATGTATAAGGAATCTGGAACCAAGGTGATTACATGTAGAAATGTGGAGACTCTTTTAATCAGGGCACAGGGACTGGGCCGGGGTTCCCGGGGTCACTCGTCTCTCACTGCTCTGTTGCACAATCCCTAGGAAAGAAGAGCAGTTTGTATTACCAGTGGCTGGTACGGGCAATAGGCTGAATTCTCCCCTAATGTAACCCCAGGGGTGCAGCACCGAGGATGAGGCACTTGGGCCGCTCTGTTTGCAGCAGGGGCTGTTAGTGCCCGGAACAGGCCCGACAATGGGACGTGTAAGGACTGGGGAAGGGCGGGACTCTCTGGCTAATGACTGGGGTGCGGATGCGGAATAAGACACGGTTCCCTCGCAGAACACGCGCTGCCAGCCCCAGTGTGAACATCCCATTAAATCCCTCCGGAGTGGGCCAAGCCGGGGCCTGCATGGCTCGTCGGGGCCGGCAGGGGGCGCGCAACGCAGTGCAGGCCGGGAGATCCGGTCTGCGGGGCATATTGGGAACCGTAGGCCGCAGTGCATGCTGGGCGTTGTAGTCGCCCGTGCGCCTCGCTTGGCAATAAGAGAGGGAAGTGCAGGGGGCGCTCGCTTTCCCTAAGGAGTCGAGAGGGCAGCGGCGGGGGGATGCCGTCACTTCCGTCGTGCTATGCGCGTCACTTCCGGATCCTGGCGCGGGATGGCTGGCGGGCGCGGACGGGTCTCCCGGAGCCGGCGGGGGCCCATGGCGGCTGGGAAGGGGGCGCTGGGGCTCCGCGCCCCCGAGGAGGCGGTGAACCGCTGGGTGCTGCAGTTCTACTTCCACCAGGCCGTGGGGGCCTATCGAGCCCGTCGGAACCGGGACTTCCGCGAGTTCCGCGACGTGATGCAGGGTGAGGGGCCCGCCCACTTGGGGAGGGAGGGGGTCCGGGGAGGGGGCCCTGGGGCCCGCCCGGGGAGGGGAATGGGAGGGGGCTCTTGGGTCCTGGTGCGGGGTGATTCTGACTTGGGTGTCCCAAGCTCTCTGTCTTCTCTCTCTCTAGCTCTGCTACTGCGGCCCCTGGTTAAGGAGCCTGCAATCTCCCGTCTGCTCCGGATTATGCAGTTTCTTTCAAGAATTGAGGAGGGAGAGAACCTAGGTACGAGAGAACAGCGTCACAATTTGCCTTACTGGTGCTCAGCCCTGTTCCCAAAGTGTCATTCACCTCACTGCATTGCCTATGCACAGTGACTGTTCTATTGACATCGCTTTTTATTTACTGTTTGGCCGAGGAAAACCAACTACGCTATTTGGATTTTTTTAAATTGAAGTTCAGGTTTGGGTAAAGGCCTCTGAAACCTCTTTTATAATTCCTTGAAATAATCTGCTTGTGTTTTTTATTTATAAGAGTCTTTTCTGCAAAGGAAAGGGCATGGGCCTGATAATAGTAGAGATAGTGCCTCTGACCAGAACCGAAGTAGTCAAAAGTGACTCTTCTCATAGGGTAGTTAATGTGCTGGGTAAACAAACTGGGAAATAGGGAAGTAATTTTCACTCTTTTCAGTTATAGGAATTGAACAATAATAGGTAAAACTTTCAGACTGAGGTATGATTTCTTTTTTCCTGTTTAACATTGTCACTTGAAGGCACGATGTGGGTTAAACATCAAACATTCTGTTATTAATAGCCTAAAACCCAAACAAAAGTTTCTGTTTAAGAAAAACCTGGCTTCTTTGCAGGGATTCCATATTTTCTCTCTGTCATCTGGAACAAAGTCACTTCCACTTTTTTTTGCAAACAATGTATAGGTAAATCAATTTAATTCTTCATTTGTCCCGTGATAAAACAAGAACACAATGTTTGTGAAAACACTGTGGAGAAGACTTCGTTTTTGCTTTCAATTGGAATTAAAACATTAAGTAAAGCAACCACGTATATCAGTCTTAGATCTAGTTGTACTTGAGGAAAACTTAAACTTGGGGATCAAATTTGATCTGATGACAATGCCCTTTCAATATTATGGCAAGAACTTTACTTTTGAATTTCTTCATGTTTGAGTATTTAAACTGCATTAGTGTAATCTTCTGTAACTTTTATTCAGTGTGTTAATTCCTGATTTTTCTCTTGATAGTGTAAATTAAAGGAAACCTCCACATACTCAGCTCGCAATGTTTATTGCTTTGAATTTCAAACTCGCCAAACGTCATGTTTCTTTTTGAGGACCTCGCATACCTTAGACAGCCTTTCTTGCCTTTCTTGATCATAACTGTTTTGTGTGTGCAGTTCTCTGCTGTCTCAGTTACTGCAGCATTAGTGGCCTAACAGCAAATCCTAGCCTACTTGTTTTGGCTGCTTCCTGTGGAGGATTTCTTGGGCCCAGGTAGATTTGTGTGTCTGTTTTAAAACCAATAGGAATGCATTGTTTCTTTTAATTGTAGATTGCACCTTTGATACAGAGTCAGAGCTCACCCCTCTTGAATCTGCAATCGGTGTGCTGGAGCTGATTGAGAGAGAATTCCCTGTGTCTGAGGTGGCAATGGAATCTGTTAGAAAAATGGTGAAGCAAGCTGTAAGGGTCAAGTTCTCCTTTTTCATTCAAATAGTTTAGACTTTTATAAGCTTTAATCTAATTGGGGAAAAAAAAAAAAGCTTCCCTTACACTGAGGGCAATTGTCCCCTCTCAGATCTTCCCTCCATCATTTGTCTTATTTCCGGGAGCTTTCCATTACTAGGAAGATAGTAACTTATCAGGATCTGTAACTCTATTAAAGGTGACCTGAAAAGCAGAACATTCCTTTTGCTATTACCATTTTCTCTTTTGACTATATTAGAAATAATGCATCCTTTCTCCTCTTTATTGGAGGACCTTTTAAATGTAGAACCAGAATGCTCTTAGAGTCTAAGAATCCCTCCTAAAAACTTACTATTGCAACTAGTCATCCCCTGCAGACTGGTCTGTTCAATTTGCTGGCCTGAGATAAAGTTTGCATGTATGATGTATGTAAAATATAAAATGTAACTATGATGTTTTATTGCATATTATGCTACAATAAGCAAACCTTTGGCACGTTTTCTCCCCCTTCCTACATCCATATGCTGTCTACCTTCACTTGTAAGCTCTCTGGGGAGGGGCCATGTCAGTTTCTTTTAGTATTAACGTGCCACGTAACTCTGTGGTCCTGTAGAAGGCTACTTGTTTGTTTAAAATTAAGCCAAGGAAATCTGGTGAGAACTGATGGGTTCTCAAACTTCAGGGGTGTCCATGTACATTTACAATAAGTATTTTACTGAATTGAATGGCACCATACAAATGAAAATTAGGTAACGCAATCCGTAATTGTAACCTTGTGTTAATGGGATAGTTAGAAGGGTATAGTAGGATTTCAGGTTAGCAGCTCATTAAGGTGTTTGGTGCAAAAAGTGTTATTTCCATGTTACTTGGATAGTATTTGGAAGGAACGTCAGAGGCTTTGCTTGCATTTTGCTTGTGCTGTTTGTGAAGCTGATTTAGGAGATGTGGTTGAATTGATACACATATAAAAACTGAGATCCTCTTTTTCCTCTCTAGGCTGTTATCATTTGTATTAAAAAGAGAGAGTTTGATAAAGCCTCAAAAATTCTGAAAAAAACCATGGCAAAGGATCCCAGCACCCAGGTGAGTTTGATTATGTGAGTTTTTGGGGTGTGCGATGGGGTATCTTGTTGGCTGTGCAATATGTTCCCAAACATGTATTTCCTTTTCTTCATTTCTGTCTGCTGCTACCATTGCGTTGTCCGGCACCGAAAGCGAGTGTAGTTGGCAATGCTGACACAGACTCCAGACTTTTTGGCTTTTGCTTCCTAATTTAGATCAGTGTAAATTAGCTGATAATGTAGTGTCAGTGGGGAAGTCCCCTCTCCACCCAAACCCCTAGCTCCTGCATTTGTAACTTGTATCATTTGTACATATTCAGAATGTTCTTGCCTCTTGACTAGAAACTGAGGACAGAGTTGCTCAGCATTATCCGTGAGAAGAATTTGTCTCATACGATGATCCGAAATTTTTCCTACAAGACTTTTCAGCAGAGTGCGTTCCAGTTCTTGGAGACCTACCTGGAGGATTCAGAGCCCTTTCTCTTGACAGTATGTGTCTACCTTGCTACCCACATTTCAGCCCTACCCCAGCTGTCACCCCCATGGTCTGTGGGAAAATTGCATGTGATGCATGTCACCTCTAACCCCTCCATGTTCTGTTCAAGGGATACACCCTTAGGTCTCAGGCCTCCAGCTGTCACCTCTCTGTAGGCAGCGTCCTTTCTCCCTTCAGATCTGGGATTTAGGCTTGTTTTGCTCTGTGACTGTCCCAGCCGTCTGACCTAGCTCCCAACCCATGGGTTCACTCTTTTTCCTGAAGGACAAGAAACCAGCTAGCCTTCACAAAGCAAAGTATGTCTATTTAAGAACAAAAGAATTACAGAGGAAAATTTGTCATAAAACCATAAAAAGTCTAAGTGCATATTAGAAGTGACTCATCTTTCACATGAGGGTCTGGTAGGAGTCAAAGTCCTTCAGATCCTTCCAGCAGGGCTTGCCCTCTTGTTAAAGGTTCAGGTCAGTTTTCAGGTAAAGAACAACCCCCCCAATCCCTTGCTTTAAGTTCACTTTTTGTACCGAAAGCCTTTCTTTGTTTCCTGGGCCTCTGGAAACTGGTCTGGTCCACTATTTGTAAAATCCTTTGGGGTTATACTGCGTTGGTGATGTTTACCTGTCCCAGGATGTGCAATAATCACCTCCAATCATTGTAGATCCTTGGGGAAACTTGGTAAACCACCTCTGTTCAGTTAGAATACAATCTCTGGTTCACAGAGATGCAGATAACTTCTATAATGTTAATACAATAGTCTCAAATGATATGAATTAGAAAGAAGTTACCAATTTGTTTCTTTGTCTTATTGACGTGTAATATTTTTGACTTGTACTCAGAAGTCAGATACAAATGTCTGGCTCTAAAGTTTTGGGACCAGAGCACCAAGGGAATAAGTTTTTAGCATTTAAAATTCAGACCTTCTCTTAAGGTTCCATGCTATAAAATGACTTGGTGGTTATTATAGTTCTTAATCAAGATAACTTAACTCTACACATGTAACTACTGCAGAACACCTGAAAAATGACCAATTATCTTATCTCCAATATACTAAATAGCACCCTGACCATAGAACAGCAAGTAATTGCAGGGATTGTGCACTTAATTAAATAATGTTCCATGTCTGTGGAATGGGAGTAAAATAAATGCAGTTCCATGGAGTTCTATTTGTAATGATTATGTGCTTTCTTCCTGTCAAAGATGGCGAAAAAGACTTTGAATTCAGAATATATTGGTGAAACTAAGAAGCTGGCATTCGTTCCAGAGCCTGTGGAAGTAGCTAAGCAACCACCAGTGGTCGCTCCAGACAGTGTGGAAGTAGCTAAGCAACCACCAGCGGTCGCTCCAGACAGTGTGGAAGTAGCTAAGCAACCACCAGCGGTCGCTCCAGACAGTGTGGAAGTAGCTAAGCAACCACCAGCGGTCGCTCCAGACAGTGTGGAAGTAGCTAAGCAACCACCAGCGGTCGCTCCAGACAGTGTGGAAATGTCTTCAAATGACTTTGAGAGGTGAGCAGCTGTGGTGATGCATTAGCAACTTAGAGAGGAAAGCTGACCACATATGGTGAATGAAGTTTGCCAGAATTTTGCTTCTGAATTGTAGCACCCACTGGTTTAGCTCTGTGCAGGCCGCTGTAACTTTTTGCCATGTGCCAATGCAGTTGTGCTGCCCCAGGGGCTACTACTTGAGGATTTTTCACCAGGCTGTCTAGCTTTGAATTAAAACATTAATCTTTTTTTCTGAAGAGTACCCTGGTGAGTGTTTGGACTATAGGAAGGGAAGGTGTCCCTTGTGACAGGTGGCGAATGAGAGAGGGCCTTATGTTTACAGAAGGGTTTTGGTGTGTCCATGGTTCAGAGGACATAGGTTTGGTCAATAGCATTTAGTTTGCCACTCTTTGGAGGGATAAAACAGATGGATGCTGTGATCCGAGGTGCCTACGGTAGCCGACACTGAAAATGCCAAGGTCAGGGCAGGCTGCAAAAAGGAGAGCAGGTTCTGCCAAAACTGGTGGCTAACACTGAAGTTAGATTCACCAACTAGTCCCAAACTGTGCTCCTGATCTCCCACAATGGTTATCAAGAAGCTAAAAACGAAATCACACAGCCCCCTTTATTGCATTCCAGTTCTCTGGCTCCCAATCAGCAAATAGGTCCAGTACAGTGAGAAGTTTTTTAAAACTCTGTTTGCTGCACCAGTGGTTCTCAAACTTTTGTACTGGTGACCCCTTTCACACAGCAAGCCCCTGAATGCGAACCCCCCCTAATAAATTAAAAACACTTTTTTATATGTTTAACACCATTATAAATGCTGGAGGCAAAGCAGGGCTTGGGGGTGGAGGCTGACAGCTCATGACCTCCCAGGTAATATCCTTACAACCCCCAGTTTTAGAACCCCTGCACTACACAGAATGTTTTTCTGATCCCCAAAGGGCCAGCCACATTGCCAGATCAATACTATTTGGATCTTACCCAAAATACCACGCTGCCAGCCAGTCCTTTAGCATCTACAACGAAAGGTTTTATTATAAAAGGAGGAGAGTTGTTAAATGGTCAAAGCAGTCAGATACATACATATGACTTCAGAGTCCATACATCAGGTTCTTAGCAGCATTGGTGAGTTTGCTGGCTTGTAAAGCCCCCCTGGAAAACATCCAAAGCTTGCATGGGTCTATCAGTGCTTTGTTAAAAGCTTCAGTTTGTAGAGAAGATGCTCCAGAGGTGGAAAGCAGGATTGAAAATGGAGAAGATGCAGCTGCCTTTTTATATCCTTTGTCCCAAACACAAGCTCACAGCACATGGGCATGGACAAGCACTTGGAGTCCCCTGTCCAGGGGCGTGTCCCGCTGAGTCGTAGGGTAGCCCCTGGCTTCTCTCAGTGGGTTCATTGTACAGCTGATTGCCTTTGATGGGCCATCCAACAGACTGGATAGCGTTGGTGCCAAACTCTCTGGGGGTGTCACCCAGAAACAAAGCACAAGTTCGATATACAAATACATCACACGTTTAGAACTCAATGGAAAGAGGATACATATAAACATGATTATACTTATCAAATCATACCTTTCCCCTGATACCTTACACGGCATATCTTGTAGGATTCATTGCAATTTTGGAATATTGGTATCAATATTATAAATGGTCACCCATATTCCATATGGCCTCACGGATGCTTTCAGGATTGTTGCTGTCATTACCAAGCAGTAATGACATCTGTCTTGGACAAGGGGTTCTCAAACTGGGGGTCGGGACCCCTCAAGGGGTCGTGCGGTTATTACATGGGGGGTCACGAGCTGTCAGTCTCCACCCCAAATCCCATGTTGCCTCCAGCATTTATAATGGTGTTAAATTAAAAACACCTTTTTGTATCTTTATAAGGGAGTCGCACTCAGAGGCTTGCTTTGTGAAAGGGGTCACCACTAACAAAGTTTGAGAGCTACTGGTCTTGGAGGAGGCAGCTCACCTGCACTGCTGGCAGGATGGTACAAGACACCGAAGTTCTTGTAGAAGGGAGATGAGTCAGTGGAGATTGAGAATGCGTTGTGTTGTGATGGACTTTCAGGCATGATTGTTTGCTATGAATAGGGTCCTACCAAATTCACTGTCCATTTTGATCAGTTTCATGGCCAGAGGGTTTTAAAATTAGTCAATTTCCCATTTTAAGACGTTTACACCTGTAATTTCACGGTATTGTAACCATGGGGGTCCTGCCCCAAAAGGGGACTCTGCGCGCGCGCGCGTGTGTGTGTGTGTGTGTGTGAGAGACGGGATTGCCACCATCACTTCTGCGCTGCCTTCAAAGCTGGGCTCTGGAGACAGCAGCCACAGAGCTTCCTGGAGGTGGGTCTGATCTCCCCCTGTGCTGCTGGGAGCACCCCAGCTGGGGGCTCGTAGCTGCTAGTCCGGGCCAGCTGGGGAGGGACAGGACTTCCTCTTTCCCTGCACGGCCACTCTTGGGGAGAGGTCAGACCCAACTCTGGGATCTTCCGACTGCAGGAAGTTCCGCGGCTGCGCTGCCTTCAAAGCTGAAGGGGCTGAAAGCTGGGCTCTGAAGGCAGCATCTTCGGAGCTTCCTGCAGCCGGGAGAGGTACCTGGAGGTGGGTCTGACCTCCCTCTGAAAGCGGCTGTGCTGGGGAAGCGGAAGTCCTGTCCCTGACAGAACAGGACTAGCAGCTGGAGCCTGGTGAATGGGAGCAGTCCCCGGTTGGGATGCCCCCAGCCCTGTCTCTCCCTGTCCCCTCCAATAGCTAGATTTCACGGGGGAAGGTCTGATTTCATGGTCTGTGATGTGCTTTTGCATGGATGCGAATTTGGTAGGAGCTTAGCTATGAGGCAGAGTGAGGGGAGCAGCTGTGATTTTAGTGAAGTAGAGCCTTGTATTGTTGAAATCGTTGATGTAACCTGCTTAGCTTCATTTATTTTATAGGCAGCCGCCTGGAACTGTAACCACATATGGGATTTCTGCTCTGAGAGAAGCTTTCAAGACCTTGTCAAATTCCCAAGATTCTGATGCAGCCTTTACCAAACTGGATGAAACAGACTTTTCTTTCCCCAAGCAATTGTCCCCTTCTGTATCCCACAGACTCAAGAGGCAGAGAGAAGAGGAGAATCCACCCTTGGAGACCTCAGACATACCTAAATCACCTCCAAAGAGTAAACGCTTGTTCACTATAAGCAGACTGATTATGGAGCAGGACAGCCAGAGCACTGAGCTGAGTGAGACGCCAGACTCATCCCAGGAGCCAGTGGTATCTTCTGCATTCAGGACTCTTGTTCAAAAGCCACATGTTCAGCGTGTATCTTCCAGAAGTCCCAAGTATGAAGCACATCTGTGACACTGTATTCTAATGCAGATGCAATACTTTGAGAACGTATAGCTAACATTGCTACATTAAACAATAGAACCTTATCAGTGTGAAACTAGAATGTTAAAAATCCCTCCCTTTTGGAAAATGTGGAAATGGATAGTTAAAGCAAATGTTCTATTTCCCTTGTAGTTCATACATGTGGTTAGCAACATGGGAAATGGGAAAGCTCACCACCTACATTCCAATAACCTTAATGCTGACCCTTGACATCCTTGCAAACCGCTTCGCAGTGTATGCATCTGACTATGTAAATCTGCAGTTAGTAATACACAGGTTGGAGTTTGTAGGTATGTTTTGTGGGACAGATTAAGGTAAATTTTCACATCAGTGATGAAGTTAAATCATGTATGAATTTTAAGAGTAATAGACTATTGATGCAAGTTACTTTAATTCTTCCGCACTTGTTTTGTACCTTGTATATGTATTATATCACTTAGCTGTAAGTTAGAGTAGGGAGTGGGTGGATATGTGGGAACAAACCTTTCTCTGGAGCCAGGCTTCTGGGATGCATGTTTTCTGTAGGACTTGATGAGCGTGTAGCAGGGTTCCCTTCTAATGCATCTTGGAGGCTCTGCAGATGAGGACCTCTGCTTTTGCACACTTAAGGCGGTAGTGTGGGTCTGCAGGAATGAAACAGCAGGGAATTCCCTTTCCTGAGCAGTACTTGAGTTCCCCAGGAGAGATGAGGCAAACGTAGTTCCGTAAGGTTTTCAGACTTAGGAGCACTTCAGGGAACTGATTGCAGAGCAGACCCTACTGAGCTGCATGAACTTTCGTGCTTGAAAAGAGACTGGTTTAGAGCTTAGCATTTCAGGTTTTATGTGCTTAACATGTTACGTGCCAAAGCACTAAAATGCTTGGAAGTTGGCCACTACAAGTGTAAAGCATTTTATTCAGTTCAGTAGGCCCCAGCTGTTCCCAGTGCCCTGCGGAGCACCCGGGATTGGCATGTTCCCAGAGCTCCCTGACTCCTTGGCTCTTGCCGCCCATTGTTGACTAAGATCCTAGCTAGGATGCAATGCTTTAAATGGCAGCGGTGCTGATGGTGCTGGCTGTTGGTGACAAAGGATGTCAGCTTTTGCTTCAGGAGTTGATCTTCAAACCTTCCCCTTCCCAAATGCTCGTATACATCTGTGTGAAAATGGTTGCATGCTGCCACAGCGATGGATTGCACAAGAGTATTACTAACAGGGAGCATTTGTTTTCATGTAGTTGCTGTAATATTAAAACTAATTGAATGGATCCTTTTAAAGTATTTTAAATGCACCTGATTTCAGCTGAATCTTATCCTGTAAGGAGTTGAGTGTGTGCATGTGAGCGAGAGAAATAAGGAACATAATTGGTTTGGAACCAGCTGGCTTTGCCTGTAGTAAAAATTTCATAGCAGCCTTGTGGAGCATGTGACTTGCTAAGTGCTCCTGCCCCATTCCATTGTCTGTTTCATGCCACATGCACGGCCCTTTCTTGGTAGCTCAGTTGTTTGTATCAGTTTGCAGCAACTGCTTAATTCTTACATAGTTCGCTCTCAGTTGCTTCTTGTGTGTGTTTGATACAGGGATCTGTCAAGGTCCAAAGAGAGAACTGCCTGTAGGTATTAAAATGGCACTGAGTGGCTTTGAATGCCAGACATACGCATATGGCACCCTTTACCTACAAACCAGTCAGATGGCAGTGGACTAAAATGCATGTGTTGTGGAGGTGAAGCAAACATACATAATCCAGCTCTCAGGCAAGCTCCCACGGTTCCCAGTGCTGCATACTGATCTTAGTCTTGACTCATTGGTACCAAGGTGGTCCTGGACCGTTTTACCAGTGGCCTCTAGGTAATTAGTCAGTGTTCTGTGTTCCTTTTGGATGTGTGATTTAGCTGTCTGCAGTGACTGTCTCTTCAGCCCTCATTAACCAGGCTGGCTTTTTGCAGTTAAAATGTGTGTTGTATGTTTTCAGGCCACTGAAAGCAAGATGGAACACCTCGAACGGGCAAGAAGAAAAGGACACATGGAGTGAGGAAGATGAGCTCTTCCTGGACAAGAGTAAGTATGCTATTTTTGCCATGCACACTCTTTAATTGCTGGTCCCAACCATGCTGTTGGCCCTGGGGCACTCTGTTGCCTTGAATACTTGACAGAAACCAAAAGTCTAGAAAGCCCATAACCCTGGAAAGCTTGGGACTACGGTTGCTGTTATAGGACTGCAGAAATGGAGATGATGTCCCTTTCTTAGGCGGGCCCAAACAATGGGAAGTTGCTAAATCCATTGTGTACCTGATCATGGAACATCTAGCAAGTACTCTCTTGTTACAGCTTCAGACCTGTCAGTCATTGTCAGCTATTCTAGTTTGAGACCCAGCCCAAAAGCAGTTCCTTCCCATTAACAGCTGTAGGGTGGCAGATGAGCATTTGCATGCTTGTTTCAAAAGGTGTAATTAATCACAGCTAAGACTTTTCTTCTGGATGCTGTTTAACATCTGGGACCTTCCCTTCTGTGGCCTGAACATGCTTCCATTTATGAACAGGGATTTCTATTGAGGAAGCTTTTTGGCTCAGGCTGTCCTTTTTTTTTTTTCTTTAGACACATTCGCTAACCTGAGACAAGTCTAATTCCTTTTGACGCAGTCTTAGTTATTATATTTCTTTAGTTACACTTCTTATGAGTAACCAGGGCTAGGATCAGAATGGCCAAGTGTCCCTTCAGTATGTGGAATTCTAGAAGCTAGAGGAAGTAAGGGCATTTGTTTCTATTTTCCATACCCCGGCCAAGGGCGTTCCCCTGGTGGCCATGCCGCTCTCTCCCTGTAATGGAACCGGCTAAAGCCAGTCTCTCTGGGAGATACATGCACAGCAGAAGGCGAATGCTGAAATATGACTCTTCTTGGGTTTATTTTTCAGAGTCCCCTGGGAGAAATAGCCACAGCTCTTCAATCCTCGGTTCCAAGAAACAGGTAATATAGAGCCCTCCAGCTCCGTTCAGCAGCCCAGAGCAAGGCTCTGCAGGGGTAGTGAAGCAATAGAAAAGGTTGGAAAGGGGAAATCCCTTTTGCTGTTCAGAGGTTTCTTAGCCTCTGGTATCAGCTCAGGTAGAAGAGTCCAAGTGATTGGTGCACACTGAATGGAGAACTCTGAGATGCTGAACTGACAGATGATGTTTACTAAGGGACTGGAGTACCTTGGTCAATGCTTGCGTTATCTAAGCGTTGAACTTACAAGGGGGTGAGTTGGGTTGCACGGATCTTTAAATTGAGAGGGCCTGGCTTATGTTTGTCCACTAAAAGCCAGGAAAGTGGTAGAGGCCTAAAATACTGTGTGCCGCTTATCCTGGCTGGCATCTGCTTCCTGAACCGCTCAGCAGGTAAGTGAGCTGAAGAGGCGGAGAACTAGAACACACCCTAGAAACCACATCATTCCTAAATAAGCCTGAAGCTAGTATTAAAAATATAAATACTCTTTCAGGAGGTGCCGGGGTTGGTGTCTCCTGAGTGAATCCTCCTTACTTGCCCCCTTTTGTCTGATGCCAATTGTTTGGAGCTGGGTCCGTCGGATTTTCCATGCAGTGAAAAAGCGTGGTGCATGCCAGTGGCACCACATACAGAGTTTGTCACCTGGCAGCATTTGCCTTGTAAAGGCTCCAAGATCTGATGCCTGCAGTAACCAACTTTCTGACAAGTGAATGGCTGTTCACTTTTATGCTACCTGTACATCTTTCAGTGTTTGTTTTCCTGTGGTTCACCTCTTCCCTTATACTTGGCCTCCTGTCACTGAACTTCACAGTGCCCTCGAACGCAGCACTTTCCTTCCACGAGCCGCAGGTAGTTAGTTCTCTTCACTTGTATGAACGTTGCACAGGGCATGTAACTTCCACACTCTCTCCATGATTACTTGGAGGATACAAGAGCAATAACTCCTGAGAATTTCCTGTGTAATCTACACTGTGATGTGGGAAACAGAACTAATCCTGAACTTCAGCTATAGTATTTTCCTGGTGTATATAACCATTGTAACAATTCGTCTGGAATGGAGTGATCACTGGGTACCTTGGAGTTATTGGTGAGGTACCTGTGCCTTCTTCCTATGTTATAAGAAGGTGCTGATAGTATGGATGTAAGGGGGACCAAGGAGGCTAAGAAGCCTTTAGTGTAGAGGTGATAGGACCTGTGCCTTAAGAGTCATGACACCCCTTGTTCTTCTTTTGCAGAGGTGGACAGTACAGGAAAGCGAGTGGATCAGAGAAGGAGTGAAGAAGTTTGGAGAAGGGAACTGGAAAATCATTTGCAAAAAGTTCCCCTTTGAGAACCGCACCTCGGTGATGATTAAGGATCGCTGGCGGACTATGAAAAAGCTGGGACTCCACTGAAAACAGCAGTTGAGAACTCTTAGAGTGACACTTGCTCTCATTTCTCTCCAAAAGATGGACCAAAGCAACAACTGCCATGGGAGGAGGCTTGTAGTCCCCTTCCTAGCAATGTGATAGGAACGATGTGGAGACTTGTTATGGCTGCTTGGGAGAGCTGAATGCTACAGCTGGAAGAAGCAAAGTTTGACTAGAGCTTGTGAAACCTTCCTAGTTCTTGTATTTAGCTGGAGTCACTAAATTTAGGTCTTTGTCTGTCAACAGAAGCAACCCAGCCTGAGTAACTATGGAAATAGGCTAGTAAAGGTGCTACAATGCTGACATGTTGTATATGTTCAGAAACAGCGAGGACTCTGGCAGCCTTTGCCCTGTGAGCATTCGAGCTGGAACCTGAGTGGCCTGTAGCCGGGTCGCAGCTTTCTCTACTCCGAGGCTGGTTGAATGGCAGGGTAATCCTGTCACCGACTGTTTTATCTATAGTCATTTTCTTCAACCGATTGTGAATCACTTGGCTGATCGGCTTTCTCCATCTGCCCCTCCCAGAGGGGCAAGCAGCAGTGTAGGCTGAGCTGTTGCTGAGTTGCCCCGGCAGAAGTATGGTTTCTTGGCAAGGGGACTGGCGTTGGGTTCCACATTTCTCTGCTTTGTACATTTTTATATTGAGTGGGGATTTCTTCCTCCACGTTTTTTTGATGCTTTAAAATAGATGTTTTGTTTTGTCTTTGTGCTCATTAGTTTCTAGAATGTTTGGAGCCAGATGTCATCAAGTTAAAAGTTAGTGTTCAGTTGGTTTGACTTGCCTCCTTCTTCGCAAAATTCCCTTCCTTGTGTCTGTTTCCTGGAGTAGTGCATTATCTCTGAAAGGTCTCTGGGGATCTCTGGCAGGCCCCAGACATGCCTTGCCTTCTAATGCCAAGTCCGATCCCATGTCTGAACCCATCATGTAAAATAAAGCAGTTCCTGTGTTGGATATAACAATTGGAACAAATTTGATTTGCATCTCCCCAGCATTCCCTCCTCAGGTAAATATTCCACCTTGAAAAGGGAGAAGCTTGGCATATCCCTGGGTCAGTGGCCTAGTGACAGCTTTGTGGGACACCCTGTTAACCAGAATTTCATCCTGCATTCACTTCCTGAGCCAGCTGAAGCGGTGAGCATCGCATCAGCAACTAACTGAATTGGAGTGCCAGAAAGTCTTGTACCCCTATCCGGTGGGATGCTGCTGCTTATTAGAGACAAGTGGATTTCAGAGGCACTTATGTATCATCTTCCCCTCACTTCCTCCAACACTCATGCATTTAATTTCCTTCGGTTCTAGCTGCAGAAATACCCCAACAGCAGGGGTCCTGTGAGCTGCTTCCGTTGTCACTGGTGCTGGGTAGAAGTCCCCTGCTTGCCTTAGCCATGTCCTTTGGCACTAGCGGTTGCTGGAAGGAACCTCACCAGAGGAACTCCTGGCTGTCTGGATACAAGTGCTCAAGTAACCTCTTCAACTTCGCTATTAGCCAGACACTTTCTCCCTGCCCTTTGCCCTGTTTATTTTATATTTTCTTCTGTTCTGAAACGTTCCTCTGTGCTTGAGTGGCCTGGCTGTGAAGTGCTGCCTTTGGCAAAGCCACGTTTCCCCTGTTTAGTAGTTCCATTTGGGCCAGTTACAGTAAACCAGATTAATAAGTGTCAGTGGGAGAAACATGGGCCACTTTCTTCCTTGTGCCATACGAGGGCATGAGAATAAATATCCCACATCCAAAAATCGATACCAGCCCTTTGCTTGCCTCCCACTCTATGCAATAGAACACTTTCCAGCCAGTGGTGCCCTTTTCCCATTTACAGAGTGAGGACATTGCCACAGACTCCATAAGAGAAGAGAAGTCACAGCCAAAGATGAAACAGGACCTATCTTGCAGCACCCAGATGGGATGGCAGCATAAGGTAGTGGAAGATATAGGGCACACAGCCCATGTAGCCAAGTCCCTGGATCTTCTCTGGCAGATTGTTGCTCTGTGATCAGTGTCTAGATTTCTTGTACTAAATAAAGTTTCTAGGAATGTTTTAACACACTAATCACTGTAAAGAGTCCTTCAGACCATGGTGTGGGCTGTAGACAGAAGTCTGAGTGCAGGACACCCAGCCTGCCCCCAGAACAAGCAGTTCCCCAGGAAGAACCGTTTGTACCTAGTGATGTTTCTTCAAAGCGGACTTCAGGGTTTTACAAAATGTTTCAGACGGTTAAGCTCTAATGAGGACAAACTGCACAGCTGCCCATGCAGGCCTGGTAATTGCACTGAGATTACCTTGAGGAGTTGAACTCCTTCCAAGTGCCCCTGATGTTTGGATAAGTGCAGCTGTGTTGTGTGCTGAAGGAAAAATGTTTGGCAAAAGCAGAGGAGTGAGGAGTGAAGTTAATGATTATCCCCTTGCATCCTGGGACCCATGCTCCTGCTCTGCCCCAGCCAGAGTGGTGGAGGCTCACAAGGCAGCATGGTCCCACTCTTTCCTTTGGCTGTGATTGTGGGTCTGCTTAGTCTGACGGGCCCTGCCAGGAGCCCCAAGACCGAGCCCCTGAGTGGCTCCAGTGAGCAGCCTCTCTTCCGTGGAGCTGATCGCTATGACTTCGCCATTGTTGTCCCTGCAGGTGGCACAGAGTGCTTCTGGCAGTTTGCACATCAGAGCGGCTACTTCTACTTCAGCTATGAGGTGAGTGCTGGGGAGGACTCTTGCAAATGGCAGGTTTTCAGCTCAATGGAATTTCCTGGTAAAATAAAGAACTTCCCGCAGCCAGACAGCTGCATATCCAACGGAGGAATTGCCAGAGTGGATCCAGCTGTCATGGTCTCTGGCAATAGCCAGTACCAGCTGCTTCAGGGGGAAGGTAGAATGAATCCTGTAGTCAACGATTAGGCAAAAACCTGGTCTTAGAGAGAGGCTGTCAGTCAGTAGCTGGTTTGTCCTAAAGCAGGAGGGCTTATAGCTCCCCAAAACAGTTACTTTAAAAAATCCTAGTTAGTGTAACTCTGGATGCTCTCAGTGTTCGCTTAAAACTTCAACCTTTTTTTAATCCTAAACTTTGTCTCAATGAGCTCTTACAGCAGTGAGTTCCACAGGTTACATATTCATTGTGTAAAACATTGCAGATAGTTTCTGTAGTGTAACATTTACGTTATGCACACACAAGATCCCCAACTGAAAAAAAGACAAACTCCTGAATCTTTCCAGCTATCAGGATGGCCAGCTGTCTGGAGTGCTGGGTTCTTTGGAGCACTCAATTTCCCCTGGAGTTTGGCAGCTGCTGGTTCAAATCCCACTCCAAATGACTAGCTAAAGATTTTTTTTATCAGACTAAATGATCTAAATGGTCCCTTCTGGCTTCAGAATTTTTAAAAACGATATCTTCTGTATCAAGTTGCTGCCTTTCACTTTCAATGTCTGCTTGCTCTTGTATGCTGAGCGGGTGTGAATAAGAGTGCCTGACCTACCTTCTCCACGCCTCTATTTTGTCCCTTCTAAAGTCTCCTTTGAACTGAACAGTCCCATTCTTGTCCTCAAAATGTTCATCCCTGCCTCTGAACCCCTCGATTTTTGCTCTACCCCTTGAAGGAAGGCGATGAGGATGGTGTTCTGTCCTGGTAGCACACAGGAGTTGCCCTCTAGTCCAGTGCCCAATCTCTGACAGTGGCCGGAGGCAGATACTTCAGAGGAAGATGGAAGCAGCCTTGTATTAGGCAGGTGTGGGATGATCGTCTCGTCACCTCCCCACACACATATTAGCTGTCTTCCTAATTCCTTAAAGAGATGGGTTTAAATCCTGAGGCACGAGGTTTATTGTCTCTTCAAAATTAGTTAGCATTAACTATTGTAACTCTGGATATTCTTGTTACCCATATCATTGTCCAATCCCTTTTTGAATCTTGCTAAGTTCCTGGCAACAGCCACATCCTCTGGCAATGAGTTCCGCAGTCTAATCTCGCAGGTGGAAGTGTTTGCTTCGTGTTAGTTTTGCATTTTTCTCTTCCATTTCACTGAATGTCCCCTATGTTATGAGAGGGGGAACAGAAGCTCTGATCTCTCTCTTTTTAGCTGATGGTTTATTAGTGATTCATATAATGGCATCATATTTTTCTCAGCCATACTTTAAACATCCCCTTTTAACCCTCCTGACTTCCATTTTCACTCTTAATGCCATAGATTACTCTCCTTTCTATTGACTTCACTGGAGTTGGATTTCTTTCCCTTGAACAAGAGGGGGCTCAAATAACCTCTTCAACCTCATTAGCCAGACTCTTCCCCCCCCCGCCCCCCAGCTCACCTGCCTGTTTGTTTTGTTAAGGGGAGGCCTTTTAGTGACCTCACTCAAGGCTGAGTCTAAGGACTCTGTTTTTAGGGCCTTTTTGACTAAATTTCTTTTCAACTCCCCCTTCCTAAAGGTTAAGGCCCCACCATGCTGCTCCTGGGGCCCTCCCCTCTGTTGAGGAAGCTTGAACTTGATTGTATTGTGGTGACTATTAGAGGCTCAACTAGTGATTACTTCAGGCAACTCCTGGCTTTGGCTTTGACCTCAGTGGAGATGAACGTCTCCTGGTTCTGGAGGATGTGCTGTTCCGAAGGTTGCTAGGGAACTTTGCCAAGTCAGTAGCAGAGGGGTGAGTGCTAGTAGCCAGCATCCAGTGTTGGTTGGATCTTCACTTGGCAGGAGGTTCCACAGTGCATGAACTCAGCTAAGCACTCACAACAGGAGACCTTCCTGTCCCCTGGCTGCGAGTGGCAGGAGTATCCGAGGTCTCTTGCTGCGTGGTTGTGTATCGTCAGTGCTAGGTACTGGGCTCCTGCCTGGGATGGAGCCCTCCAATCCTCTTATCTTAAACCCTGCGACTTCCCAGCTTCTGTTTACACTGGGCCGATTGAAGTAGATCTGGGAGTTTGTGCCTGGCACTCTCGGCGCTCCTGGTGTTTATCAGCGGCTCCCTTTATCTGTGGTGCGTGTGGAGCAAAGCAGCTGCGCTGTAGGCAGAGGGGTTGGAGCTGTTCAAGGATTCGGTGAACTGAGCTGGCGTTCAAGCCCACGGTGCTCCCCCACCCTTCTCTCAGCCTGTTCGAAAGCAGGGGAGGTGTGTGGCTGGGAGTACTGATTGCTGCATGCGTAAAGGGCAAGGAGGGCTGGGTTGAACCATAACACAGCTCCCGCTGGGGGCTGACTGTACATGGAGGGAAGGGAATCCACTGCCCAGTCATGGAACCTGTTGGGGGACCAGCCCTGTGCTAGCTAGATCTCTACTAGCCGTGGCAAGGCTCAGTACACAAATGAAGTGGTTGGGGAGAGAAAGGGGATTGCGGGAGAGGAGAATTACCCTGTACAGCGCAAAACGGCAAAATCCTTGGTGTCCTTGCTCTGACATGGGCAGAGGAGGAAGCAGACTCAGCAGGTTCTCCTTGCCCCAGCCTTCCTTTCTGAGCCTGCATCCCCTGGAGCTAGGCCTGAGTGACCAGCAAACCACTTAGCTGCCAGGTGGAGGCTCTTTGCTACCACTCTGCAGGGTGAAAGATTTCTCCCCATTTCACTGACAGGAACTGAGCCATCCAGCCACACACTATGTGGAGAGCCAGGACTTCCCCAGTCCTGTGCTTGTTCCTCCAGATGGTGCCTCTGCATAGCCTGTCTGGTCTGCTCAGTACGCTGTGGCTCCTGTAAACTCACGGCCACCCACTCGAGGTGAGTTTAGCTGTGTAGTAATTGCCACTGAGAACAGTCATGGGCTTTGCTGCCTTTATTAGCAACACGGCCCCATCT